AGTTTATGTTGTGTCCAGTTGACATGGCGTGTTCTGCAATGGCTGAATTTTGTGTTTTCATGAGTCTTATGCTCTCTTTATGTTCCCGTTTCTCCAATGTATGTTTTGTTGCAGGAATATAGAATTTCATAAATGGCGTTTTTAATTGTATTTAATTGCTTGTGGATCCATGACTGGTTACAAGATCCTTAATAATATGACTTCCACATAAAATATTACCATTAATCTCACTACTTAGAAAATAAGTGATTTCACCCAATTTGTTTGGTTACTTCATTACAATGAGGGCCAGGTGGTTAGGGCATTCGACTTGCAATCTGCGGGTTTGAATCCCCATCACACCAAACATGCTTGCCCTTTCAGCCATGGGGCATTATAATACGAGTCAATCCCACTATTCATTTGGAAAAGAGTAACCCAAGAGCTGCCTTCCTTCTAGTCTTTCACTGCTAAATTAGGGATGGCCAGCACAGATAGCCCTCATGTAGCTTTGCCCAAAATCCCTAATAAGTGTTGTAACAGGCAAAAAAAATTTTGTAAGCTTCAGTGAAACAGCTGTTTTAGTGTATAAGAACAAAAATGTACCATACATTTTTAGTTTAATATTTTCTTTTATTCGGGTATGATACATATATGAAAAGTTCAGTTAAAACTAACATTTACAACTGAAGCTAATAAAACCAGGATAAAATAAAAATACACATACAGATCTGGCAGATGGTTTGTATTAAGAAACTAGCCTGTACAAAATGTATGACATATTTATGCAAACAAGTGAGAGGGAGAGGGGGGGCAGACAAAAACGCTGAATCTGTAAGATCAAGTTCTTCCCACGATCAGCTAAATTTGACACATGATGGTTAAAAACTGGTATAAAATAATGAAATAGCATGAATGCAGTTCTGAAGTAAACTAACTTTGTTAGTTCCTGCTGGCTTAATGGAAGTTTGAAAATATGTTACCACATTGGTTTCTGGCAGAGCTTTAACTAACTAGGGTGAGGAGGAGGAACACCCAACTGCTCTATTGTTACCATACTTCCCTGTGATGTGGAGTCTGATGTTGTCTCCAGAAGTCCATCAACATAACTTTCTGCCATTATTGGCAGAGACAGGTAAGCCTGTTCACTATCATCTGCCTTAGCTTCTTCTTCACTGCTGGGAGCCTCCATAGTTACTGTCATGCTAACATCTCCACAGTCAGAATCTTCAGAACCAAGGGTGATTCCACGAGGGAGACTAAGAACTGTATTTTGTCCATCAGTTGAACTGATAGGGATCAAAAGCACTCGAGAACCACCATCTGAAGTGGGAACATTCACCACAGCTGCACTGGTAAATGGCTGTTCTCCAGGTAGCTCTATGGGAATGTGCTGCTGGCTGTCTTCGCCATCTCCAGACACCATCATAACTATAGACTGACCATTGTCTTGGTCAGTCACAGCCACATGCTGGATACTTTGATAATCAGTAGAGGGTAGAAGAGAACTAGCCATAGATGAAGTCTGTTTTACATCAGTAGCAGAGACTACAGTAGTATCACTGGTGGCGAGATCCAACTGAGAGCCTCTACTAACCACCAAGCTGGACACATCACTGTGATCAGCAGGAAGCTGTACAGATGTGACATGGTCTGAATTGGCATGGGCCTGCATCATAGACATGAGAAGGCCAAGATTTCTCTCCACAGAACCAGTACTATCAGACAACACTGAAATATTTTGTGGCTCGTCTGTTTCTTCCATTGTCTGTAACTCCAGAGGCTGCTGAATTTGGGTCTCCTGGGTTACTGTATCTATGGCCTGGACAACTTCAACCTGGTCACTAGGAACCATGGACACAGTTACTCCTTCTGATGTTACACCACTTACTAGACTAGTTGCCAGGTCTTCCTGATTTATACTCAATGTCTGTGGACCAACACCATTGCAAAGTTCTGGTGATGCCTGGATAATGACGTGCTGCTGTTCCTCACTGTCAACAGTTGTTTCACCCGTTACAATGTTGTCAGTACTGTTTTAAAGAAGATTAGAGAATTTGTGTCACTGAAATACGTTCATGTTATTTTTACAACATATAAATTTTCTGGCTGAAAATCTCTTACCATGTTAACAATCCAATATCACTAAGTTTTTTAAAAACTAACTCACTTAGCAGATGGTTTCTTCTTGGTTTTTGGCATAAAGGTATTAGAAATAGGCTGTATGTTTACCTGTGCTATGGTAGTCTTATGTGACTTTCTTTCACTTAACTCTCACTAATCACTACATTTCTAGCAGCCATACGTTATAAAACTTGAAGATCAGTATCCAGTTAAAAAAGTATTTCTTTAAATTGTAATAACTTATGAATGAAAGCAAAGAATATGTCCACCACACTACATATGCCATATACGGTATCAATGAGGGTTTTCAACAGTGGTTGAGATGCTATTTATATCATCAGTTTCATACACAACCACTATTATGGTGTTAACTAGATTAAATAAATGAATTGTATTTAAATCAAAATTTAATTAGAGTGAGTATTGATAACATGATATATTCAAAGTTTCCATCAAAATACGAGTTTAAGACCTTCTGGACACACACACTTTTAAACTTGTATAAAAAAATGTTAATTTTTTTAAAGTTTAAAAAGATCTAAATAAGCAATGTTAAACAGTTAAAAAACAATTATTGCAGTATAAAGTTTGACTTTCAGTCAATATATCTTTGGTGGAGTTGCCTAAAAGCTTTGCCTTTAACAGATATTTTTATTATTGTAGCTTTTATAATGGATTTTTGTTTCTAGCCTGCTCACTTTCCAATAAAAAAAGTGGTTAAGTTGAATGGACTTAAAAAAATCTTAACATTGATTAACTGACTTGTTAGTTTGGTATAGTCACAAGTAATTCAGTTGTCTAAATTATATTTTCATATTCATCTTTCACAAAAATTAATTTTAAAACACAATAAACCAGAGGTTTAACTAACTTTTTTAAATGCATGCATGCTTGCTCAAAATATGCATTTTCAAATGTAATGCCATTTTTTTTTTTTTACATTTGTATCATAATTGTTAATTCTGATGTAACATTATTTCAGGTTAACTAAGTTAATACACAAACAGAAATGTGCCACCATACAAGATACTGCGCATCTCAATGTTATACATTAAACTTGTAAAATCAAACAATATAAAAATTAGAATAACATCAATTTATTTTGTAAAATAAACTTGGTAATTTGAGCCGGCAGGTCTTGTTACGTCTGCATTTTAGAAATGTAGTGTTATTTTTTCATGTTATTAAAATTCCTGTGTATATAATGTAGAATTGAACATTAATGAGACCTCATATAAATATTACTTACTTTTGTTGTCCAGAACATACATGCTTAGCAAAGCTTTCTTCCGAGTCAAAGCCATTTAGACAACTTGCACAAATCAACTGGATCATCTCAATCCCAGTGACTACTTGCTCTTGTTGATCCTCATTTTCAGCTTGGTTAATCTGCAGATCTTCCATTTGGATCTCTGCCCAAGTTTCTTGATTTGTATTAGAAACCGTAACTGCAAGCATTATAAAAACATGCTTCAGTTCTTTTTTATCAAAACAATGCATTTATAATTGGTAAAAATGTTTACACAAACCTTACAATAAGTTTGCTAAATACAGTTTTGTGAGAGGTGTTAAGATTCCACAATTATTTCATCAGATCTTAAGGCTGTTATACAAGAATCTGGTATGTAGAAAAATCTACCTGATTTTTTTTATTTATCTAAAGAACATCATAGATAAGCACATGAATCTACTAACTGTGGGGGTTGTATTTTTTAGGACCATTACGAAGAAATTTCACTTTTATAAATGGCAATATTCATAATAAGTTTATAAAGAAAGAATAAAAAAATAATCACCTAAAGATGTTACAAATAAAATTTATTTTGTTACCTCTTTCACAGCCAGGGGCATATACATGTTCCCCTTTAAAGCACTGTCACAGGTTCATATATGGAGTATATTACATAACTGTTTTAGCTTTGAAATGTATAATACCACATTTGCATTTGGAAGTTTGTACTACCATGAAGAAAATACATTCCCCTTCGAACTTCCCAAAGTTTACCAGTTTCAAATAAGCAAAGAAATATCAAACCATCCATTTTAGTTTTTTTTTAACTTTGTACATAAAAAGAAGCCTGTTATATACATAGTTGTAGATTAATAGTTATTGTTTTAACATTTACGCTCAGTTTTTTCTTCTCATAGAGGAAATATTTATACAAACTGGAATATTAGTATGTATTTTCTAATTAGTATTGAAGGTTCTTCAAAAAAATTCATATAATGTGATATAGAACTTCTATTAGGCTATAAAATTTTGTTGTAAAACACTGTTTCGAAAAACCATTAAAATACTCTATTTTATCTGATAATTTCAATATTTGTTTTATTATTGATTAGCAACTTCCATTTTAAATATCCAGTCATTTTTTTCAACTTTTTTGGTATTCGTTTATATATTTCTCTTGCTACTTTATTTTGCCAAGTGAAGCAGTTACCACCTCCAGCTATAAATCATACGAAATGCAGTAAAAACTGAGAAAGATTTATTGGTTACCAATGGCCTTACTTTTTAAAATGGCACCACACTTATCTTTGTTAGGTGTTGCATCATGACTTTTGTAAACAATATTCTTGGTTGAGATTAGTTTTTATGCAAATAAACAATACGTTATTTTATTTGTGTGTGTGTGTATTGTTTAATTACAATAAATATAACAATATATTCAATAACAAAGGATTTGTTTCATCTAAATAGTTTGCTATTGCTTACCATATTTTCCACACCTAACTAAAGTTATCTAATGTCTAGTCATAGAAGAATATTTCTGTAGCTTTCAAACAGATATAATTTAACATGTTTCTAACGGTTCGTAGTAACCATTAGGAGGAGGAACATCTTACCTGGTACTGTCTTAGTGTATCTACTAGACTGCTGATGAATCCAGATTAAAAGAATGTTTCTAATAGTTCGTACTAACCATTAGGAGGAGGAACATCTTACCTGGTACTGTCCTAGTGTATCTACTAGGCTGCTGATGAATTCAGATTAAAAAGAATGTTTCTATCGGTTCGTACTAACCATTAGGAGGAGGAACATCTTACCTGGTACTGTCCTAGTATATCTACTAGGCTGCTGATGAATTCAGATTAAATATAATGTTTCTAACGGTTCGGGTCGTACTAACCATTAAGAGGAGGAACATCTTACCTGGTACTGTCTTAGTGTATCTACTAGACGGCTGATGAATCCAGATTAAAAGAATGTTTCTAACGGTTAGTACTAACCATTAGGAGAAGGAACATCTTACCTGGTACTGTCCTAGTGTATCTGCTAGGCTGCTGATGAATTCAAATTAAAAAGAATGTTTCTAACGGTTAGTACTAACCATTAGGAGGAGGAACATCTTACCTGGTACTGTCCTAGTGTATCTACTAGGCTGCTGATGAATTCAGATTAAAAAGAATGTTTCTAACGGTTCGGGTCGTACTAACCATTAGGAGGAGGAACATCTTACCTGGTACTGTCCTAGTGTATCTACTAGGCTGCTGATGAATTCAGATTAAATATAATGTTTCTAATGGTTTGGGTCGTACTAACCATTAGGAGGAGGAACATCTTACCTGGTACTGTCCTAGTGTATCTACTAGGCTGCTGATGAATTCAGATTAAAAAGAATGTTTCTAACGGTTCGGGTCGTACTAACCATTAGGAGGAGGAACATCTTACCTGGTACTGTCCTAGTATATCTACTAGGCTGCTGATGAATTCAGATTAAAAAGAATGTTTCTAACGGTTCGGGTCGTACTAACCATTAGGAG